CTTTTCCAACACCATTAAAAACAATAGGTCCATCATGTTATTAATATCTGTGACAACTTTATGCTTCTATTTTTGAGAGTTTGACATAACCTAGGGGCTACCACACCAGACTATGGATCCAAGGGACCATGGTTTAGGAAGAAAAATCCCAATTTGCACTTTGAGTTCATGAGTGCCTTAAGTCCCATTATTCCTAAGAGTTGGTGGTGGGTACTGTTGACTAATTGCCTACACTTTAGCCAAAAATTCAAAATTAGGGATAGCTAATGCAGATAGCTCTTGTGTAACTTCTGAAACAAACTCACTGGTTAAAAAATCCCATGTTTAAGAATATTTTAAGTCAATACCAAAGTAGAAAATTCTTTATCATCATTAAATGTAACATCAATACTCTAAAAAAACAATCTAAGCTATTCACTTTGACCCAAGCCAATTATTTACCTAAAAATTGTGTTCTTGAATAGAGTTAGGCAGTTAGAATAATTTGGTAATAGATTAAATGTAGGGCTCGTTAATCAGTTACATTCAATTAATCGATTATTCTCATGAAACTAGTCTTCCTATTTTCAGCTTGTTTTGATTTTTGATAAAGACATTTTCAAACTACCTTTCATTTAATATTATAGTAATCTTTGGTACAACAAGAGTATGATTAATTTAGTTAATTACATCAAAAGCAAAACAACTTTTTGATTACTTTTTTAACTCTAACTGTTGTACATAAAAATGTATCATATAGGCAAAGTAGCAAATCGTGCAACAAGCTGAAACATGATTAATACTTTTCATGGATTTCTTCCTAAACACTTTTGTAAAACTAAATTAATTAATCCTTCTTTAAAATAATTGTCCTCAAATTTCCAGTGATAAAACTGTTAAAGATTTTTGTCACAGTGTGTAATAGCTAATATATATATATATATATATATATATATATTTATAATTCATTGAAAACAAACTCATGACAATCCTAGAAAAACAAAAAAATGCAATGTTTACTATTTGGCAATAAAATTTGTGATGATATAAGATGACCTCTTTGTAGAGATTAAAGTGATTCATAAGGTAGAATTTGAATTATTATAAGAAATATTAAAATAATGGTGATATAATAAATCACCAGTGTGGAAAACTTAAATATTAACTACTTTATAAGAATAAACAGTATCATAAGTGAGAAGTTGTTGATATTGGGAAAAAAAGTGTTAAAAGAACATTTTACAGTGATTAATATTCTTACATTTTATAATTCAAACTGAAGAAGCTGTAGAAACACTTGTGCATGCTGAGAACTCAACAAATCAAATCTGCATTATTATTTAGACATACAAGGTAAACAAACTACAACATTACTGTAGTTAGTTATGTAACATTTTAAGTTGTGTAAAGGCAAAATTCATGTATAAAGTCAGACCAGTGGAAGTAGTAATACCTAATAGTTTGATTATTTGGATAGTTAGAATAACTGAATATATAGTAATAATCAGACACACTAACTTCATTTAGTTAACTAATTAGTTTCACATCTCACAAAAATAGTTAAGCTGAACAACATTGGTTTAATAGAAAATAATGAGAAATCATAATGGCAGTATTCTGATTACTTAGGTACATGTATTTGTAACAATCAGAAACTAATATTGATTAGTGGATTGCTTCCATGATAGCAATTAATTAATTGGTTATTTTACATAATATTAATTGCTGTAATCAGTGTCTTAGGTAATCTATTTAATTGCCCAGCTGTACTCTTAGATATATTACATTTGGGTACATAATATGCAAATACTGATTGATGTATAATGCCACATAGAACAGAGATATTTCTGCATTCTGGTGCCATTTTCAAACTGAACAGCTGCAAGTAGAATGTGCTTTTCAATATGCACGTTTGGCACCTTTTTGGAGCTTCAAACTGAGCTTTGAGGAGAAGAGTTCACCTTTTAAGAGCATAAACTCACTGTGAAAGTCTAGTCACTGTACAGTCTTATTTCTACTAGCTGATCATGCAGTTCAACTCATCTGATCTATTCATATTTACTTCCTTATTTTCTTTCTTTTCAACAGCCCTACTAAATTGAAGGCTACTAATGCCCTATTGTTTCTGTTGCTGTAATAAATAAAATTTTATATCTTTAATTTGGCTTCAACAACATATTTTGTCTCTTCTTTCCTTTGTCATAAATTGTTGCCCTTTCTTTCTGCAGACCAGATCCATGAATCTTTTGATTATGCCACCAGAATGCAGAAATATCTCTGTTCTATGTGGCAGCTGCAAGCTCAAACATAAGGTCAAGAAGGACACAATGCACTATCTAAACAATCCCACAAAATAGTAGATATGTTCCTTGACAGGTCAAGCTACAAAAAGTAACATCTAATGTTGAATTTATTACATGATCTGTACTGGATTGAGAATGTTTCAAAATCAGAACCTAAGATAAATTTTAAAATCTTATGAATAATAAAGGTATATTATAGGAGATTAAGATATGTAGTATATATATATATATATCTACAATGTATATACTCAACATTACATATTAACCAATACATATTTGCAGTATATGACATCAGTGTTCAGCAGCAAGCCACATAGCCACAGCAACCAATTTCACTTTTGGTCACATTTCCCCAGCACACTGAAATGCATAGACAGCTTTCAAGCATCTCCTAAAAAATTAGGCTACACTAACCCAAATAATATCACAAAACTAAATGTAATTATTGAGGAATGCAAGCAGAAATTGCCATTCCAACTATAATCAACCATCCAGGTCAATTTTGTATTGTCAGCTACATGATACATGCATATACACTCACACACAGTATGATATAGAAAAGGTACCAGGGACAATAGCAAAACGACTTCCGAAACAGTCTTACCTCCTATCACACAAAAGCTATCTCAATCGTTATCTGCCCTTTAAGCTATCTGCTATTCCCACTCAATCCTCACTTGGCATAAAACAGTTTAGACTTGTTTATTTTTTCCGACTGTGAATACAATTTTTGATTGTGCTTTGTTGCCATTTGATTTCATTTGTTTCCAAGAATTTGCATTCAAAAATTTCTTGTTCCCAAATTCTTCATGCTTTAGTGTAAATTCAAGGTTTCCTGTGGCGGACTATGATATTACCATGACATGCAACAATGCACATGGCACAACTTTCCAGGACATAGGGTTGACTTTATCTCCCTTGGAAGTACATGCCTTGGTTTGCAGGGAGTTAGGGTCTTACAATCGGCTGGCATTTTCTTCCTCTTTTCAATGTGACACTGTTTCTGATGAAGAAGTCACTCATTGAGTTGCTACTTTGGTCTCTCTTTTTTCAGGCACCTTCGACCAATTGCTGGCTGCCGTGTCTTTCAGTTGGGGGAGACTTATTTTTCTCCTCCTTTCTTCCTCTAGCTTCAAGTTCTCCCAGAAGAATTTTGGTTTTTCAATATATACACTTCACACCAAGTTGATATACCCGTGGTAGGCCTGGTTCCTATGCCCTTTGCTTGACTGGCTCCAGCTTGCTTCCTCTCGTTCTCAGTCCAAAGTTCACACTCCTCTGGTCCTACAAGATGCAGAATGGATTGTTTTCCTTATGACAAGAGGGACCTCCTCTCAATACCCCATTCTTTTGGGGAGATCTTTCCAACCTCAGTAGGGCCCAGCCTTCTCCTTTTTGTCTTCAGGTTTGGAGTGAGCAGTTCACATGGCCCTCACATTTCTTATGGCTTGATTGTTCTATCCCTTTCGAGATGTTGACTTCCTTGGAAGCTCTAATTCCCATGTGTCGAACTCATATTCATTCCCTTCAGTAAACACTCCTTAATCACTTGTACTTCCCCTTAGATCCCTGGATTGTTGGTTGAACAGAGTCCAGACCGTGGCAGGGGTGCTGCTTACTCTGGCTCTTCCAGATTTATATCTGTTCCCATACTCCTCTTTAGGGGCTGACGTTCTTACCTTAACTCATGGGAGATTTCTGGTCTATGGTCAATCAAGGAGCCTTAGGTGGTGCATTGAGCCTTGTTCCACCTCCTACCTCTTCTACTGGGGATGGTGATGGTAAATTCTCACCTCTCAGCTGTGGTCACTTATATCATTGAGCCAGGGGGTACTGATTCCTGGTATCTGTGCTTTCAGATCCTAGGTCTCTCTCCTGAGCCCACCATTCTTCACCCAGTAGTTTGTCAAAGGCTTGTCTGCTTCGTCCAGGTCTTGCTCTCAGGTAGCCTTGTCTATCTTCTTCTGTTTCTTCTGGGTTTTGTCTTCCCCCTGTCCTTTCACTCCATTCCTTTGCTTTGCTTATTGGAATCTCAATGTGGTCCTTTATGCCCTTTCCCGTCCTACATTTCAGCCTTTTTTTTAATGTTCCATCTACCTTCCCTTCTTCACTACCTAATTCCTTTTTCTCCTTGCTCGTGGTTGTCATTCAGATTTTTATACCACTCATGTTAACCACATCTTTACCATTCCTCTTATGTCATCCTTCTTCCCTAGGACCTATGCAGCCAGTGACTGTGTTCATGCTTTCACACTCATTTCCTTATCTTCCATTTCACACCTGTACTTCCATTCTGATCCAGATAGATTTTTTTATCTGATTCATTCCTTCAAGTTTTATGTGGCATGTTCTGCCTCCTTTCTGCCACGTTCCTGAATCATTATTCCCTGGAACCCTTCATTTTCCAGTGTTCTGTAACCTGTTACTCTCACTGGTTGGGTTCGTCAGTTCATCCAGCTGGCTTATTTGGACTTGTCGATGGAAGGTTGCTGTCTCTACAAGGTCTATTTGCATTAAATTTGTCACATTACTATGTCTTTTGCTGCTTGCCTTCACTGTACTTTGAAGGAGATTGTTTGGCTGGAATATGAACTACTCTCAATACCTTCATCACTCATTATCTGCTAGATCTAGCTGTGTCTTCTTCTCATCACATGTTTGTTCAGCTTTGCCTTGGGTAAGTCTTATTGCTTCCTTTTATCTGTGTTTACTTTTCAGCTTCCTTAATCTTAGCATCTTCTTTATGGATTTCACCTTGTGGCGGGAGTTACCTGGTCAGGTAAGTAATTTGAAGTAATTATATAATGCTCACGGTTGAGATGGGGTATTTCTGTTAAACCACTGGTTGCTTTCCCAGTGGTGTATATGTATATCTATGTATTAGAAATCATTAAAATTATATCTTTGATGGACCATCACTCATGGACTTTATGAGTAAAGCAAAAAGGGATTTCGACCCACCTCACTGATCGGATTCGGTCTGCTTTTCAAAATAGGGAAACACAGTCACCCCTTGCACTGTCTCCTGTGTGACGTTCTTCCAGACTCCCCACCACCTTTTTACCTCTCCTTTTCTTCTAGTGGAGCATGGGAGTCCTTGCCACTCTCAGTTCCCAGTTGCTGGGATGGTGAACCATGGAAGCTTCTTCCTGAGTGCAATTTCATATTACTATTCTTATGCTCGTTTATCCACTCAATGAGAAGAGGGCGAAGCTGGTTTCCTACTTGGGCTTCCCTTGGATGTTTTTTGCCTGGGTGAATCACACTCAATAAAACCAATGATCAAATGATAGTTGGGATCGGCCTACGCATAATCTTCCTCTTAATTCCCGGGTTCAGGATTGCAACATCCTGTTCCTACGATTGTGTGCAGTAGATGCCTCTCTTTTAATAAATTCTGGTTGCAGAAGGTTCTTTCCTGCTTCTACGGGTGGATTTGAGAGACTTCCTCTGCCTTAACACTGGCAATGGGACGTCCGCACTCTGTTCCCACAGTTGGACAAATTCTGCTTGTCCTCCTCATAATTATGGATACTGTATGTATCTGTTCTATATTTACATTTGAGTAAGTTATGATTTTGCCTGTAATACTGGTTACAGCTTTCCCAGTTCTTACAGTTGAGTCGAGGCAATGCCAAGACCTCATAATGCTGGGTTTGGTTTGTCATGCTTCTTGCTCCCATGGGGATTTGGGGAGTTTGTCTGGTTACAGCCATTGCTCACTTCCTTTTCGTAAGAATTCTGATTGCTTGACGTAAGGCACTCTATTCACTTACAGTTGGGATTGTTGGGTATTGATAACAAGATCCACATGCCCTAGCCACTTATTGTTGTTACTTCTTTTTTCTCGTTATATGCTGCTACAGTTTGCATCTTCTTAACACTTTTACAATCGTGCAAGCACTACCATTTCTGCCCATTTGATGTTCCTTTCCTCATTCCTGGGTGAAGAGCATACCTGTTCCAGAAGTTGTGCAGTATCTCACACCTGTGCTTCATTTTCATCTCCAAGCCCACTCGTTCATTCTGTGTGGTCACTTTTCCCTTGGTTTGTTCTTTTTGTGCCTACACCATCCCTCCACATTTGCATTGTTGTGTTCTAGCTTTTGTGTGAGTTGAGGTAAATCCGTTTTGGAAGTTAACATTTTCTTATAGTGAAAATTTATTTTCGATAGGTAATTATCTCACACACTTCCCACCCTTCCTCGCCAATAAAACTGGTGTTTTTATTGTAGTACATGCCAATTCTTGAAAGTGAGAATTGAATGGGAATAGCAGAGGGAGCTAGCTGCACTGTTATAAGCGTCACAATACTATTAGTGGATTGTAGTCACAATATATACATGTTCAGAAATGGTGTGAAACTGGTGCGCTGATTACTAAAAATTATTTTTGCAATGCTTAGAGGGCTGACAACAATTGAAATAGCTTTTATGTGAGAGGATGTAAGTATCTATAGGAAATACATTTTCAGTGTAAGAAAATGTTAGGTTACTTAAGTCATCATACACAGCAATCAGTCCAAATTGCTATGGTTTTTTCACTAACACTACTGTTTTCAACAATCCACTCCTTTAAATAAACATTAAAAATAACTCAAACAAAAATATAGCAAAATGGTACACATTCTGTCTTGGTTTATACAGTCCATGTCAAGTTCTTGTAATATGTTTGAGCATAATCCTGTTACTAAACTCCAGGAAGAGTGTATGGACTTATGAGGCTCAAACATTTTAAATTCACCCAGGAAGTTTCTATTATCAAATATCAGCCAATATTCACCTCAAAATTTAACCTGTGTCCTTAGAAAGCAAAGATTGCAAAGTCTTTTGATTTTTTAGTTTCTAATCACCTATAGCAGTTAGGAACCAGTTATCAGTATCCTTCAATCTTATCATACATGCTTATCTGTCTTAACTGGGATTTTTTGAGAATTGTGCTGTCTTCTGCAGAAATGCCAACTTGATAGGACAGAAAGCAAGGAATACCTCAACCTAACTTTTCATTGATTTTTCAGTTAACTGACCATCCTAACTACTTGTCAAGCAGTTAATCCCAGCCAAACTGAGTATGATGACATATCTGTGTCTTGGCTAATCAGCAGAAAAGACACTGCTCCTTTACTAGCATTTCCTCCTGAACAACCAGCATCTTCTTTTTCATCATTAGTTAAGCTAAGTTTATACAACATAGTGCTCTCACCATTAGAGCCAACTTGCTCATGCACCTTTGATTCCTGAGTTAAACGGTTCTCTAGAGACTTGTTGATTATGTAGAGTTAACATGGCTCATGTTATGGTTTTAAAAAATGTGTACAGAATTGTTAATTTCTCTTTTAGTACAAGCTTCATTCCCATAGGAAAGATATCGACTAGCTTGGATGAATTTGTAATGGCCTTTGTTCTATAGTTAGAAAGCCAGAAAATTGTAATAGTTGTGGGACATTGTCTGTTTTTTTGCATGTTATTATTCTGTGTTCTTTAGTGCATTATTTAATTAAATAAAAATTGTTTAGTGCACTACTACCTTTAGCACAGAAAAAAAAGGGTTAAGTTGCATAGACGGGTCAGCAAAAAAGTAAATAAAGGCCCAGGTATGTACTTTAATTCTTGTTTTTCATGTGTATTCTTTATTTATTGTTATAAAAGTTACCAAAATGTAAAAATAGGAAACTTTGTAGGTTAGTTAAGGTTAGATTAGGTAAAATATATAATATAATAAAAAATGTGAGTTCGGTAGCAGCTCGTAGTCCGGATAAAACCACTTCGTGGGCCATATCTTGCACATGCCTGATAGAGACATCTAATACAGAAGAGACAAATACCCCACCACTTTTTCCAGTTATTGTACATACACTGTTACTAACAACTATGTTAAATTGGCTTAGCTTTACCTTTTGGTTAGACAGTTATGCCAAAAACCCATTGATTTTGTGTGTGTTTAGAGGACCAGTCCAGGTATGAAATATAAATTGAATTTTATACTAAATTGTAAATAATATTTTAATTTTTTAGAGCTGGGTGATTAACAGTGTTTACTGTCAGATTAATCTATATCCCTAGTAATTGATTACATTTGATTAATTGATTAGTACAATTTACAACCAAAAAGAGAGGGAGAAGAATGTTGACAGTGAGTGCTGCCATACAGTTTCCTTCCCTCTTATCAGCTGTTCAGAATTATCCCATTATGTAGTTTTGTGCTTAAGAGCAAACCATTATAGTAATGTTTCGATTACGTGGATAGTTGGAATTACTTAAAATATTAATAATGGGAAACCCTAATTTCAGTTAGGTGAGTATTTTCTTGGCAACTGATTTAATCATAATTTTCGTTAATCAATTGTTGAAATAATCAGTCAGATTGGAAACTCTAATTTTGATTAATTTATGCAGTTATAAGTTTGATTAATTTATGCAGTTATAAGTTTGATTAATTGATTAGTTTATGTAAATTAATAAATGTAATCACTTCTCACAGGTAATTGAGTTTATTAGTTAAATCACCCAGCTGTATAGCCTTTTCGGTTTCTGTGTTCTGAGGTACATGTTGGTTATTATCTTATACATTGTATTACTATTATTTTACTATGTCACTTATGGAGTCATAAGCTAGAAAATCAGACCCACCTTTCGCATATTGTCAATAGTTTTCTCTGACATCTTATATTATTTATAACCAATAGAAAGCCAAGATTTTAATCTGCACCCAACAGCAAAAAACAAGAGGTCACAGGTGATATATTTCTTCTTTTTTAATATATATTTATTTTATTTATTATCATAGAAATAACTAAAATGTAAAAATTAGAAACTTAATAGGTTAGATTAGGTAAGGTAATGAAAAATAATAATAAAAAATTCTTTACAGAGTATGCTCTTGAGCAGCTCATACATTATGTCATTCAATATGGTAATATAAGTTATGTATTTGCCGAGTGATTTACAATTTGTGTGATGAGATTATTAGGTAGACATGGGTCAAAGTGGAATAAAACAAAATTAAGTATAAGCAATGTATACTGTTATGAGTTTTAAACTATTTAGGATAAGCAACTGCAGTTTTGTGCTACAAATTGCAGTCATTCTAGAAAGAACAAAAGGGTAACTTAGATTTATTTCTTATTTTGTTATGGTGGTTACGAAGTCAGTCAACTCGACTAAATGCATAGAGAATTAAAGTAGTGAAAATAACAGATAAAATATAAAGTTCTACTGAAAAAAAACGTTTTATAATTATTTAGGTTTTAGAGTTTATGCAAGTAAAATTTGACAATGTTCAGGTGAAGAAAAGTATTTTTAATCTTAGCATAAAAATCCTTTGCACTTGGAGCAGTAAACACACTCACTCCATATATTCACATACAAATCTTAAGTAAAAATACTTAATTAAAAAACCTGATTTTTTGTTTACAAAAGACTTGTAATGTTTACTGAAAGCTTGCTAAATTTTGTGAAGTTATAGTATGGAAACTGATATTTACTTTAGGGTTACAGAGTCAGTCACATCTATTAAGCAAATAGCCAGAGGGTTCATTGAGGAGTATGGTCTAAATTTGGCTAACAGAAATTGGTCACCCAATATTGTGTCCTTTTAAGAGTTATTCATTCTCTTATATTTCCAACAGTAATTTGATACAAGATCAACCTCTTTGCATATGCAAAAAAAATGGTGTCCTATATAATGATCAATCAGTCAAAATAAAATTTTGTCAACACAGATTGCAGCATTCAAAAACTTATGTGAATTTTCTTCTATGTTAGTATCTTGTTGATAGCAATATGACAACAAATTTATTGTTCTCTGTGTATGCTGGAAGCCAGCTTATTTAAAAACTTCTAAATAATTAGACAGTTGGTATTTCAGGTTCATTGGGAATGTTTAATATTGATCGGCAAATGAAAATTCAAGAACTGGTCTCCTAAAGTCATTCTATTCTGATTGCTCTTAGAGCTGACCATTACTCAATTAACTGTGTTATGTGTTACAATTTCAAAAGGTTTGAAACCGAGCTAAATGATAACTTAAATTCAGTAGTTAAATAAATGCTGATATGTATCCAATTTATGATATTTGCCAACTAGATTGATACATAGTTTCTTTTTTAAAACAAATGTTTTAATATATATAAACAATGATACAATTTACAATAATAATTATTACAAACAATGATTTATATACAAAAGTTGTACAAACTTACAAGCAATATAAAGTCTTCTTTCTAGTCTGGAACTTCCTTGATGTCTTATCGAGGGTTTACGATGAGGGAGTTAATTTTGAGTTGACGTAGGTATAATTCACTTAACAGGGAGCTGTCTAGCCCTGTAACTCTTGCTGATCACACGCTTATTACAGGTCGAGTTTCCACTGATGACATTAGGTAATTTTTTCGTAAAAGTACTGATGTCCAATGTCAATCCACTGAAGTTAAATGTTGAAAATTTATAATTGTTCCTGTTCATAATATCTGAAGTTTCCCGATTAATAACTGTTAATCACAGTTATTGCTTATGAAGTTTATAACTCACCAATTACAGCAACTCAATAATAGATATTATTTTTGGTGCATCAAGTTGGATTATATTTATAGCCATGTGGAGAGTTTCTCGGAATTTCAGTTTTACGTAACAATACTGACGCTAACACTAGTGTTCACATATACACATATATTGTTGATTCTTACGCTCAAGAATCTTCTACAATTTTAGAGAATAGGCAGAAGTTTCCAATACATATTTAACTGTATAAGTTATGTACATTTCTAAATATAAACTTAATATAAACAAACATTGATATTAAAATAAATAT